CTCACTTGGTAGTCCAGGCTGGCCTCGAACTCACAGAGATCCGCCTGCCTCTGCCTCCCGAGTGCTGGGATTAAAGGCGTGCGCCACCACCGCCCGGCAAGATGATTTTTATTAGTATTTTGGGTATGAATGGCTTTTTGTTCAATATATCAAATGAATCTTAGACTCTGAAAGACAAAATCTATTCATGAAGGTTGTCTAGTTCATACACAGCTTTTACCTTTTCAATTTCTCTTCTGAAATCGATCCTCATTTGCATTGCCTGTGCTGATACCAATCTCATAGACTAAAATGAACCTTCCACTGTAAACTGGCTACTACAGGCAAGTCTACGATATCTGAATGCATACGGCTCTTGTGCAATGTTTTCCATAGCCGGGACAAGCAAAGCTGAACTAGGAATGAAATACTATATCTAATATTGTTGAACAGTTGCAGTTAGTATCACAAAGATATCAAAAGATGTAGCTGCTTAATATAATTGATGCCTATAAAATATCACCAAAACCTATCATTCATGATAATTTATAAGACAGATAGTAGTTACATTATTATCACAAATAACTTCAAAACAAAATGATTTTTCATGGACATTTCAAATAATGTAAAATCATTTTAAGATGCGCCTTCCAATACTTCTTTTTGTCAAATACCAAGAGCAAGACACACCTAAAATCAATAGTAATGTCACTCTAAATGTTGATAGTAGGAAATTGATCCTATAAAAGTTGTTTAATTCAAGACTGGTTGTTTTATTCATTATATATGACATAAGATATAATAAGCTAATTCTTTTTTTTAATTCTTTTAATTTTTATTTTTTTATGTTTTTTTTTTTGAGACAGGGTTTCGCTGTGTAGCTTTGCGCCTTTCCTGGATCTCGCTCTGTAGACCAAGCTGGCCTCAAACTCACAGAGATCTGCCTGGCTCTGCCTCCCAAGTGCTGGGATTAAAGGCGTGTGCCACCAATGCCCCGGCTAAGCCTTATACACCCATGCCCACTTTTCAGATGACTATCTTTGGAGTAGGTTATCAACATTATTTCTTTTAAACATGAATAAAAACTCAAGAGCCAATGGATTTTTGTCCTGTCATCTCCTAGGAGATACCTCTGCTTTTATTCTTAAAAGCAGGGATGCATTTTATTGGCCATGGAGAATTTTTAGATAAATTCTATTAAATAAGATTTTGAAATCTAAATTACTTATTTAATTGAAGGTCAAGTGTTTTAGGGAAATTTTAGGGTCTGGGAGACTGTATTAGATAACCAGGTTGCTATGATAACAGTTGAAAAGGAAAAGGAACATACTCAAACGTCACACAGCAGTGCTGTGTACTAGGTAATAGTACTGTGTAATAGGTCACATGAATGTACTCCAATGCCAATCATAAATATATTATCATACATATTAAAAAACCAGCATATATATATATACACATATATATCTAGGTGCTGAACCTATTGTGATTTACATATATATTTACTAGAAACTATTAGATAGATAGGCATATTATATAATAAAATATTAATGTTATTTTGCAAGATACCTGAAGTAATTATAAGTATTTCCTTGCTCACTGTCTGCTGCTATGTCTCCTCAACAAGTAATTGTAGTTAATTAAACTTAAAAATACTGAAATAAAACTAGAACATTAATTAATAACGCCACCATATAAAGTTCTAGAAGCTTCCTTTACATTTCCACATTGTGGTTAGATCATGAAATGTTGAGGAACATAGAACAGGAATAGACATTTAAAGGAAAATACTTGTCTATTATTTCTCAAAGTCAGCTGTCACCTACTTAAAGTAATACAACTCAATCCAAGTTCTAATAGTTCTAATATACTTACATGTTAAAGAACATAAGCATGCCGGTGGTGGTGGCGCACGCCGGTAGGATTTGCTGAAGGAGGCGGAGGCAGGAGGATCACGAGTTCGAGGCCAGCCTGGGCTACACATTTTGGGCCGGGCGGTGGTGGCGCACGCCTTTAATCCCAGCACTCGGGAGGCAGAGCCAGGCGGATC